CTTGTTAGAAATTGTTCCTACAATGTGCAGTTCTCTCTAAGAAGGATTATGCCAGATGAGTCTTTGTGAACATCATGTATTTGCTCTTTGCCTATCTCTTTGTCACTAGAGATATGCTGAATCTAACATACTTACTGCCTACTTGACTACATTACTTCCTTTCTTAATATACCAGTGATTTGATCAATTATATAATTTTCTCTTTTTCAAATTGAAAGTAAAAAATAAAATAACCTTCTTGGCTTTTTCCCATATAGACCTAATAAGCATGCTTGTCATTTGATAATCTGTGTCACTGATATAACACTGATTTTAGAATTTGGAAGTGACACAGTGGCTCTTTAACTTACATATATATATTATATATATATATATATGATTATTTGTATCAAACATGTTTCTATTATTCTTTGACTATATCATACTGGCATTCTAACAATTCCCATTGAAAGTAGTCTGTAGATTTGTTAGTCTTCAAATTCCCAAAGTACATTTTCCATTGCATCACAAATTGGTTGCATATTTAAAAGTGTAAGAGACGCTTCTGTGAGAAGAAACATTTAAGAACAAAGGCAGGAAAAATCAGTTATTGTCCCTTCCATTAGAGGGAAGTGATATCTGCTGTGTGAGAGTAGCTTTGGATTGCATAAGAGGTAAACTTTTTTTTGCCATTCTTCATATTTGTCAGGAACACAAAGAAGAAAGAAGTGAAAACAGGTATTGAAACACTTCAGGTGGGGCATCTGTTGTCTTAAAATGCAAAGATCAGAGACAGAATAAGATGTGAGGTCTGAATGCAATAATATAGCAACAACTTTGACCTGTTCTCAATAATAGAACTCTCGTTCCTCCTGATATTTAGAATTACTTTATTGGGAAAATGTAAAGCCTTTATTAAAATTGCCTTGGAATTGGTAATACTTGGTTTTAAATTTATAGAAAATATACTAATGGAAAGAAATAGAACAGGAATCATAGTCTGTGCAGAAATTCTAGGCTGAGCGCTACGGAGAAAATCTTCACCAACTTCATGATTTTTCAGGAAGCTAGTTCTGATTAGATCCCACACATACTGGGATGAGAAATTATTTTATGAATGGTCCTACCATATACCAATCTGAGCCTTTGACAGATTTCTGATGTGAAATTTCCATAAATTGTTTTCTTGTAATCTCTCAGATTTATACAGCTACCATTACCCTAGGGATTTACTCCAAAGGTAGAGACAGAGAATTTATATCATGTATTTACTTCTTTGAAATTAAAGTTCCTCTAAATATCTACATTTTTCTAGGTTTCGTTTCAGTTTAGTTATACTTAAGTATGTTATTATTGTTATCCTCATCTTATTAGAGTCTCAGTTCAACAAAGTGAGTTAATAAAATAACTCAGGTTAAAGAAGATTGAGTGATCGTCCCTAGATCTCATGAATAAGAAAATTGCAGGATAAAGAACTTAAACACAGATAGATATATTTCCAAAGGAAGGCTTTTTCTATGACATTCATTACTTTACCTAAAAATCAAGGCATTAAAGATATTTAGAGGCTAATCATTTCATATACTTGCATAGTTCTTCTAGTGCCATAATCAACATTGGCATCAATTAAATATTTGATGATGTTCTTTAACTTTATTCACATTTCCCAGAACACACAGAAGCTAGTAAGTATATATGCCAATAGGTTACAAACTATGTAGCACATATTAATAGACATAATATTCTTATTTGGAGGAAGTTTGTTAAATATTTTTTTTGCTGATAGGGCAAATCAACAAGGAATTTCTTTCAAGCATAAAAGTAAATTGCTCAATTTTTATTAAGATTAGTTACAGGCATACAAAATATTTGAAGGAATGGAAAATAATTTAAAAGTGGTTACACAGAATATTTTAAGCAGGCTACTGTTCAAGGAAAATGATTTAGAACTGAAAGGTGTATTAAATACTTTTCACCTCTAGAATAATTAGAGTGAAAGAACATCATTTACTGTTCACCTAATGTTTCAAAAGAAAACAAAAATAGAATTAGTGGGATGTCAAGTATAGGTCTAGTAAGGGAAAAATAGAGAGTGAAAAAGTATTTCAAACTAAAAAAATACAGAGAAATCAAAAGAACAGAGGAGAAAAATACACGTAAGATGGAGAGATGTGGAAAGACAAGAGGAATAGTTAGAGAACAAATATGAGATAGCGTGAGAAGATAAAATGGGAGGGAAAATATAACCAACTCAAATGTAAACGTATAGCTTTAGAAAATAAAGTACAAAAATATTTAATGAGAAAGAAGTGGAAGATAATAAATATTGCAAAAGGAGGTCAAGGAAATAGACAAGTGGGTTAATTAGTGACTGTGAATGGGGATCAGGTCTTCAAACATCTGCTCCATGAACTTTCTGACGACAACCTGGATTCCAAGCACAAACAGTGCATAGATGACACGTATGTGTGCTCTACACCCTGCACTCTTTTCTCCTCTGCACTGCTCCAGCATTGTCAGCATCAGATAAAATTTTATATCATCTAAAATAGGAATATAGAGTAGAGGGAGTGGCAAGCATTCATATTTCCATTTCAGCTTCCACAGTGATCATTAATACAGTTAGAATAGAAAACTTGTCTTTGCAGAGATTTGTGTGCTTTTATTTCTCAAGGATTTACCTCATTTTACCTAGAGAAATGTTTCTCTTATGAAATATATCTTCTGTCTCTGGATCCATAATGAGCATGATGTGAGCATTATAGGTACCATAAAGAAGTGTAGAGAGAAGTACACAAAGGGAGCATAGTGAATCAAAAGTGTTCAATGATAATGCGTCTTATATGTTAAGGAATCAATAGGAGAACAGAAGACTGGGTGTGGAGGCTCATGCCTGTAATTCCAGCACTTTGGGAGGCTGAAGTTAGAGAATTGCTTGAGCCCAGTTGTTGGAGACCAGTCTGGGCAACATAGTGTCTCTACAACAAACACAAAATTAGCCAAGTGTGGAGGAAGAATACCTAGGGCCCAGGAGATTGAGGCTGTGGCGAGCCATGATTTTGCCCCTGCACGTCAGCCTGTGTAATAAAGGGAGCCCTTGTGCAAAAAAATAGCAGAAGTAGATAATAGGGAATGATAAGGAGTAAAATGCAAGGAATAGTGCACAAACCTATAATCTCCAATCTCAGAGATACTTCAAAATTTCTTCTATGACCTAAATACATCCTCAAATTTTGAAAGAGTGAGAAACAACCAACTGCATAATAACATGAAAGATGCACACAACTGCAAGCAGAGAGTTATTTCTGACTTACTTCAGCAATAGCAAGTTTCATGCACAGAAGAAATGATAACTATTAAGGTCAATAAATGGATAAGCACAAATAATCAGAAAAATGAAAAAAGAAAAGAAGAAGGAAAAGAAGAATGACTCCATATGTAAAGCTTTGTGCTTTGGTTTTGTTTAGGATACGATGTGTGTGTGTATGCATTTATATATATTTGTATGCACATATATGAGTCTATGTGATGTAAGGCGCTTCTTTCATAATTCTCAATTTTGACTACACATGGAAGCCTCAGTTATTATTTGATCTATTAAAGCTAGATATACAAAAGCAGATGCTTTGAAAACATATGACATTGTAAATATTTCCATGAATTTCTTAATTTGGAATTTTATTGTTTTTCTTTTCCTTCCTTCTTTCTTTCTTTGATTCTGTCTACCCTTTCAGTTAAAGATAATAAATTCTTTTTTCCCTCCACTCTTCACTCTATATTCCATATGATTTAAAAGTAAGTATGCCATGTAATTTTCCCACATGTGAAATATTGTTCTGTATCACATTGTAGTATTTTGTTCGTCAAGAGCCTTTAGCTTTTTAATTTTTTCATCTCAACTACAAACCATTTTTGAGCAAGGATCGGCAATATGTATTTTCTTTGTATATTTTGTATTCAATTATACCATAATTCTATATAATCTTAAACCTCTCAAAGATAAAGCTTCAAAGAAAGGGATGCAATAAATTATGTATAGAAGTTCTATTGTTGTTTTCATACTAAGAAATTATCAAATGTAGCCCCTAGGGTGATCAGTTATCACTTTGACGATCACTTTGGCGATTACAGATATACCCCAGATCTTGTTTTTTCCAGAGTGGACAAGGGTATTTTTATTTAGACCAGGTTGATGGGTAGATGTTCTATAGTAGTAAAGAAAATATTTCCAGTAAATACAGTTGCTTTAGTTAAAACCTTTTAGATCAACATTCCTAAGGTGCCGTTTATATATCATAAACTGTACCATGTAATTCAATTAGTTTTGACATATATAACCATTATAATACAAAATAAAACATCTCTGTTTCCATAAAAATCTTGATCACTCTTTGATGTTAATCCCAGTCCATCTTTCATTCAAATAAAAACCTGAAGAACTTCAGTAACTAGGGTGAATTTTTTCTCAGTCAGAAAATTTGATTCAATGAAATAAAATTAATTAATATATTTTTTAGCTGCATTTTGAGTTTTCACTCTGTCACCCAGGCTGAAACAGTGGCATAATCACTGCTCACTGCAGTCTCTACCACCTGGGTTCAGGTGATCTTTCCACTTCTGCCTCTCTAGTAGCTGGGTCCACAAGCATGCACCACCACACCTGGCTAATTTTTTGATTTTTTGTAGATACAAGGTCTTGCTCTGTTGCTCAGGCTGGTCTTGAACACTGGAATCAAACAATCCTCCCTCCTCAATTCCCCAAAGTGCTGGGATTATAGGTGTAAGCCATCATGCCCAGCCAAACAGAAAAATTTTAATACATCTCATGTAGATCAGGAACAAAGCAAGGGCAGTGGCATACCACAGTTTTTGTTGAAAGAACAATTAAATAGAAGCACAGGACTTAACTACAAGAGAGTGTGCCTTCAGGCTCAGGGTGGTGGCCATTATAAAATGTAGATGCCTAAAAGGTAGAAGAGATTTCTTAGGTGTGAAGACAGACGCTATAATATAAATGTGACATATCTTGCTTTAGTTGAAAACCATAATCTAGATGGAAGATATGGAAACAAACTATCCTTAATGTTCTTTAGGTAGAGGAGATGAAGATAGAAAACAGCACAGTAGTGACAGAATTCATCCTCCTTGGTCTAACCCAGTCTCGAAATATTCAGCTCTTGGTCTTTGTGTTAATCCTAATTTTCTACCTCATCATTCTTCCTGGAAACTTTCTCATCATCCTCACCATAAGGTCAGACCCTGGACTCACAGCTCCCCTCTATTTCTTCCTGGGCAATTTGGCCTTCCTAGATGCATCCTACTCCTTCATTGTGGCTCCTAGGATGCTGATGGACTTCCTCTCTGAGAAGAAGGTAATCTCCTACAGAGGCTGCATCACTCAGCTCTTTTTCCTGCACTTCCTTGGAGGAGGAGAGGGATTACTTCTTGTTGTGATGGCCTTTGACCGCTACATCGCCATCTGCCGGCCTTTACACTATTCAACTGTCATGAACCCCAGAGCCTGCTATGCAATGCTCTTGGGTCTGTGGCTTGGAGGCTTTGTTCACTCTGTTATTCAGGTGGCTGTCATCCTACACTTGCCTTTCTGTGGCCCAAATCGGCTAGATAACTTCTTCTGTGATGTCTCACAGGTCATCAAATTGGCCTGCACTGGCATCTTTTGGGTGGAGCTTCTGATGGTCTTCAACAGTGGCCTGATGACACTTCTGTGCTTCCTGGGGCTTCTGTCCTCCTATGCAGTTATCCTTTGCCATGTTCGTAGGTCAGCTTCAGAAGGGAAGAACAAAGCCATGTCCACATGCACCACTCACATCATTATTATATTTCTTATGTTTGGGCCTGCTATCTTCATCTACACTCGCCCCTTCAAGACCTTACCAGCTGACAAGATAGTATCTTTCTTCCACACAGTGATCTTTCCATTGATGAATCCTGTGATTTATACCCTTCGAAATCAGGAAGTAAAAACTTCCATGAAGCGATTATTGAGTCGCTATGTGGTCTGTGGGATCGATTTTATAATGAGAAATTGAGAAGAAAGAGTTCTGGCACAAATTCATTAAATCATTTAACAAATACTGTTTTTCACTGATAACACCTATTTGTCAGGCACTTTATAGGCAATTAAGGAGTAGTTATGCATAATGAGAGAATAAACTTGTTTATTTAAAGACTATAAAAGAAACCTCAGAGTGGCTGGAATATAATGAGTTAAGTATGAGAAGTTTAGGAGTTGAATTTTATGTGAGTGTTTGGGTCAAATTACTAAAGTATTTTTGAGATACAGATTTTTATTATATTTTAATCACAGTTAGAATCCATGTTAATGTTTTAGGTATGAAGTAATTCATCTATGATGAATGAGAAATTAGGTACTTATACAATTTTTTCAAGGGACAAGATTTTTCTCTCTGTTGGGTAACCAGAAATGATTGCCAGAAAAACACTGTAGAACTAACTGGCTAGGTGACCTATTATACTGTAGAGACTGGTAACATCAAAAGTCACTTTCCCAGGATTTGGTTCCAGGAACATGCCAATGGACCATGGTTTAGAATGAGGAGATGGATAGAGAGGGCATCTCATGTTATTGTCTCTTTCTCCAATTATTTTTTTCTAAATTCAGGTTTTACCTCAGTTCATTGATAGAATATGGAGCACTCATTGCAAAGGTTCCAGACAAACCTATTTATATGTTGACCACTTTGTCAGAAAACAAAACAATATAAAAATGGTGGTAAAATATAGGATAAAAGTTTTACAACCTTGAAGATGAGAAAGGCCAATAAAGTATGAAAATTGAAAGAAAATTACAGTTACATGTGAAATGCAAAAATGAAAACAAAGTATGTGTAAACCAAAAAGTGGAAGAGTGCTGAAAATATGCCCACTACATCTGAATGTGTAGATTGTACATTTTGCACTATTATAGAAATTTGCATGGAAATTGAAATGAATGTTCCCTCCCTACCCCTCCAGGATTGTACAAGAGTGCGTTTAAGCTTAAAAATTAATATAAAATGCTATTAACCAAGGAAATTTATATAAATAATAAAAGGTTAAGTCACTTAACACGTAAAATTTTTCCTAGGTTAATATGAAATAGATATATATCAGAGGAAAATATGGGCAATAAGAACAAATAGACAATTAACAAAGGAAAAAATAGAAGAGTTTATAAACATAAATATAACTTTATCTTCAAAAACCAAGCACAGGAATAAAAATCACCGATTCTAGTTGGCATGTAAAAAAGAGTTTCTTATGTATTATTAACCACAAATAGTACAGAATAAAAATTATGCTTTTCTGGGAAGTGATCAAAGAACAGATGAGCAAAGAAGGCTTATTCTATTGAATTCCAGAGACAGCAAAATCTTTATATATATGCAGATTGAAGTGTAAGCTTCCATACATGAGGGCAAGTGCCTAGTTCAAATATGGGTAGCTGGATGAGTGATCCTAATATAGATAGAGATATTTTGTAGACATAAGAAAAAACAAGCTGAGCTTTTTATGACACATGGGTCATAGATCAGAATCTGGAAAAGCTCCAAACAGAAAAATATAAGTTCACTTTTAGAAATCTCTCCCCACTAACACCTATACTAATAATTTTCCCAGAAAAGGAACAGTGAAGAAAGAAATGAAAGTCAAAGGGAATTTTTACAATCCTAGCCATTATTTTAGTGCTTGGATGTTGGTACCTAATCTATTTGGTAGAGGGATTTCAGCTACCTTCTTGTGGTCTTTGGCTGTGTTGGTATTCTCCACATCATCTGGGATAAAAACCTATTAATAGTTTTGGACTTTTTTTTTTTCCTGTTCATCATTGAAATGGCAGACAAATCTTCTGTCACTTTAGCACATCTCTTCCTTCTTCATTGTATCTGCTGTAGTCAAAGAATTTTTCTCACATTTGGACCAAGGTGGAAGTCCCTTAATTTCAGATTTTTTTCTGCACTTCATTTACACAAATGAATGTTTTCAAAGTCATTCTTAAAACAAGTCACTTCCTTGCCCTCAAACCTACAGATGTTCCTCTCCACCTATAGAACACTGGCCAGACATCCTAAACTGATACTTAGGTGACATTATCACCTGTTACTAATTTTACAGCTTTATTACTGCCACTGATATCTCAGAAAGATTCTGCTTTTAGCTAATCTAGGCTACCTGCAGGTCCCCAGCCATATAATAAATTTTCTTATTGGCATATCTTTGCTCTTGCCTTCTAATTAGAACAGAGTTATTCACATCTCCACCATCTTAGCTCTTTCTTCCCAAAATTTTACTCACCAAGGGTAGTGACATTTTCCTGATACATTAATTCCACACACATTTGTTGGGTATCTGTAAAGCAGGATCTTATCCTCTCAAACTTTCATTTCTCAAATTACAGAGGAAGATAAGGAAGACAAACAAGTTCTTATAATGGGGCAGGTTGGACAATAAGTACCACTTGCATAAAGGCACAAAGATCATGCTGAGAACCAAGAAAGCATTGGAGAAAACCTTCCAAATCCTGCCAGCTAGAATTTATCCTTGTCTTCACATGGCCACATGACCCCTATGACACAGTGCTCTTTGATGTGTTAGAAATCTGATGGCTACTGCTTGATTGTTCCTTCAAGTTAGAACCACGTCTGAGTTTTATTTCCCCTCTCAGCATTGTCCAATATCTTGTATAAAGGTGTTCTATCAGTGTTTATGGGACAAAGGAAGAGGAAGGAGAAGTTTTTTCCTTTCACTTGCTCAGTATCATTTCGATTTCCATATGAAAAGTGTAGAACACATTCAAGGTACCCTCATCTCAAAGAAAAATCCAAGACTGCCATTGACTGGTTGTATCACCTTTCAATGGATTCCCTGGTAAAAAAACGTGTATCTTTCTCACACTCTTTTGTTCTCAGTTACTTTCTCCAGGCTCTAGCCATCTCCCTTAGCTGCAGCTTACTCAAACACATATGCATTCCTGTTTTTGAGATTTTAGTCTATGGATTATCCAGCTAGATATTACTCCTCCTGTGTACCAGGTTACACCTTATTTACTGATTAGTTGAGGGAGGGTTTCACTGATTCTGTCCCCATACCCTGGCAGAAAGACTTGGTCACTCCTATGATCCATTTGGGCTCCTTTCCTGGACAACTACTCTCTTATTCTCAGAGGACTTGTCTTCATTTCATTTCTGTAGTGCAGTGGAGCAGGTTATTTGTAGCTAGCAAATATTATGAGAAATAACACCCAACCCTCCCTTCAAAAAAAGCCCCAAGTAAAAGCACAACTCTGAAAGATTATGGCTATGAACTCTTTCTAGTGGACATAAATTTTTGTAGCTATATCTCAATTGTTCCCTCTGTTTCTTTTGTGACTACAGAATTATTTTTTTGGTAAGGAAAAAGAATTCTGAGTACTTGGAGAAGATGGTGGTCGGCCATTTGGATTATGTGAGTCCAGGTGTGAATGAGTCAGTATATGGGAAATTTTGTGCACCTGCTGGTGAGTGAGTGGGCATGTGAGTGACTGACTGAGTGAGGGCTAGGGAGCTAGCAACCAGTGTTCTCCTGGCGCAGCGGCTGGTGCCACAATTGCTTGGCTTGGACCCTAGTGATTTCTGGGTCACAGAACCCGAGTGCCATTTTTTTAAATCAACAAAACCCTTCCTGGGAAGAAAATGTTGGAAGAGACTGACTAAGTTGGGGCTCATGAACAAGTGGCCAGGGCCCTGGTGCAACAGCTGGTGCTGCAGTTTCTCTGCTTGGCCCCTGGCTCTTCCCAGGTTACAGAAGCTGAGCCTCATGTTTTTTTAAACAGACAAAAATTTTCCTATGAAGAAGTGGCAGGGAGAGACTACTGCCTGAGGCTCTGCCTCACCACTGCAATAGGAGAGACTGCTGGTTCTAGGCTTGGCCTCACCACTTCAGCATCTGGTCAGGCACTGGCAGCAGGGACTGCAGAGGGAGCCAGAGGCAGAGTCCCACTGAAGAGAAAAAGAGAGGCACCCCACCACCATCTTGAAGATGGGACAAGAAAGTGCTCTGACTTGTTTACCAAGGAGCAGCAGAACTGATCTCTGTGTCTGGTGGATCAACTACTCAGGGATTGATTGTGACCCAGAGGGAATATTCTGAGAGCACAAACTTCAAAGGGACCTGACAAGTGCTGAGTCCCAGGTGCCCCACCATTTACCCTGATCCAGCTGTGGGACAAAGGGGGTGTCCAGTAAAATGACAAGGAAGAACTCTAAAGAGATCAGTGGTGAGTCTAAGGTTGACCTAAAACCCTTCCTCCCCAGCAATCCTCTGAACGTCAGACCCACACAGCTGGGCCATGACTAAGAGGGATAAACCCAGGTGGAGCCTCGATGTCCATTGCAATAGGATAACTCCATTCCAGAATAGGTCTGGCTGGGGCACTCCCTGCAAGTACATACCTGGAAGAGACAATCCTGCACCTCCTCACCAGAGGAGATCTCCCTGATCCATGAGAGTGAGAAGGGAGGACTGTAGTCCCACTTACCTCCACTGCCCCTCCTCCTTCTGGTCACTGAGGAGAGAGTGAAAGAGGTGAGGGTAGGAGAGAGTAGACTAGAGGAACAATTACAGAGCCTGCCACAAGAGGGCAGGGTTTCAAAAAAATTTTTTAATTAAAATAAATTTTTGCCTGTTCGTTAATCTATTTTAAAAAATATTTTTCCTCTGTGCATGAATGTGTATGAGAGGGTTTGATCTGCATCTCCCCTTTCTTTTCTTTTTCCTTTTCTTTTTTTATTTCTTTTTTCTTTTGTTTGTTTTTCTGTTTATGTGTTTATGTAAATGATTGAGTGTTCATCTTTCAATTTAGTTGTCGTTGTTGGTTTGTTTTTGCTCTTTTGTTCTACGTTTAATTTTATTTATTTTTTATTTTTTATTTTAAGGCGTGTGTGAGTTTAATGTGAATTACTTTTTTCCCCCTGCGGTCTTTCTGTTTTTCTTCTCCATTCATTTTGTGTTAGGTGTGTTTGTTTGTGTGTGTGTGTGTGTGTGTGTGTGTGTGTGTGTGCATGTGTGTTTCATTTTCCAGGTTTTTTGTTGTTGTTTGTTTTGCTTCACTTTGTTATTTCAGTGTGTTTTGGGGTGTGTGTGTATGTCTCTGTGTGTGCTCAATTTTTTTTTTGCTTTGGTTTCTGCTTTAA